CATCTTGGATAAAATTAATGAGTGAATTTCCTTCATAGGAAAGTGGCAGGTCTATGGGAGATAAATTCTTTGGTGTAATCTATCTAGCTGAAAACAATGCTGCGTGCCCTTGACTTGCATAACTCTGTTCTAGAGATTTTATATCTTGCTCATGTGAAAGTGTAACTAACTGTTGACAACTTTAAAAAATGCTATTATAATATAAAATAACTAGTTTTAAGTGAATACTTACTTAAAAGTTTTCCTGAATCAGTGAGATAATGCTAGGAAGGATAGCCCTTTTCCTGTGGGTTTACAGTCTAACATACACAACCCCAAAGGTGAATGAGTTGTTGAAGGAAGAAGAGAAAAAGCAGATTCAGGCCCCAGGTCTTAGAGCTGTAGGCATATTAAATAGTGTGAGAACATTTCAGCACTTGGGAAAGTCTTACTCAACTAAGATAAATTTATTTCACTAAAAATTGATAGGTAGAAGACTGCTTTTATTTGTATGTATGTATGTATGTATGTATGTATCTTGCTGTTTCTCATGATAGCTCAAGGAAATGGAAAATCATTGCAGGTGGTCTGGAAGAATGATGGTATCTTCAGGATAGCTATGTTGGTTAGCATTATTAAATTCTATATTGACATCATGGAAAGCCAGGCAACACAGCTTGAAGAAAAGGCAGCGTGCATTAATAAGACAAACACATAATACAAAACAAAACACAAACAGCAGTATCACTGATGTTTGAAGGGCTGGTGAGCCAGATTTGTTTTGCCTGACTCTGGCTTATTTTAACCTTTGAATCTGTCCAAGGCAGCAAACCATGGTTTATTTGTACAAAATCCCATTTGAACCCATGGTTTGAAATTGGTTTATCAATCCCAGCTTGTTTTAACCATGGCTGCTTATGTCTGAATCCAGAATGCTGACTTATTCCAGGTCGGGATTTATGGCCTGCACAAACCCTCTCACTGAAGTACTGTACAAGACAGGGCCAGACCAGCTTAGGCTTTTTCAACAAATATTTTACCCTGCTCAAGTTTGGCAGGCTTTCCCTTCACAATTCACAATTGCTGCTTTTGGCCATAGATGGCTAAAAATTCATTTAGTTGTTGCTTTCTGAAACCTATTAATCTTTCTTTGATTTTTTTCCCATTTCATTTTATATAGAGAGTTTATATAGAGTACCATTTTTATAGCCAGGACGAATTTTATTAATCCTTTTTCTTTATTCGACAATATTTGTTTCCAGTTGTATTTTTTTGTAATACTTTTGAAGTATTTTTAAAGCTTCTGTTCAGTTATCCTGAATAACTTTTAGTACAGTATTGTGCAGTATGTCCTGTTTATGAGACCTTGTTTATGTAAGCCAAAGATAATACAGTATTCTCTGTAAGGGACTCAGTGAGGATTATTTGTTTTCTTTCTAGCATCTCTTCAGATGTTAGTGATCGTTTTGAGTAATTGCTTCAATTTTACATTATTATCACTTATATAAAAAGCTGCTATTTTGTCATAGTTTCTGTTTATCGTGATTTATTTATGAGCAGCTAACATTATAAATAAATAATGTTAGAATTACTCATGAAAATATTTGGCAATTTATTTATTTTTGAAAGTTAACTGTGAGAATTACACTTACATATAACTAAAAGAGCCTTAGGTTCCTTTAGATTTAAACAGAGTTTTTAGCTAAATTGCCTGTTTTTCCCCTATATCTGTTTTTCCCAACATAGTACTATGAGTGAGGAACCATTACATCTGCCAACACCTCTCAAGACCTCTCACCATGTAGATGTGAGATGAGGGCAGCTATAATCCAACTCAGTTCCTTCATCATTCATCTTGCACCC